TCCACATGCTCCGAGGGTCTTGTGAGATGAATTGACCCTCGATCCTCTTTGCATATGTGGCCTTGGCCCTCTTAATACCAGTAACCAGCTCTTTTCTGGTCCTACTCAGCTCCTCTGAGTTTCTAGACCTGAAGGCAGTGTTCCTGGCTTCCAGCAGGATACGCACCTCTGCATTCAGCCAAGGTTTTCTGTTTGGGTAGCTTTTAACATTTCTGATAGTGGAGACGGTTTCAGTACATGTACTAATGTAACCCAGAACTGAGGATGTGTATTGGTCAAGATCAAGCGAACCTCCATTTTTAGCAGCTTCTCTGAAAACCTGCCAGTCTGTTCGGTCAAAACAACCTCTCAGTATGGAGCCACTGTCCTGGATCCAGCATTTAACTTTCTTTTGTACCGGGCTGGAGCGTCTCAGCGGGGGCATGTAAGCAGGAGCCAGGAAGATTGAGGTGTGGTCTGACAGTCCTAGGTTGGGGCGGGGTTCGGCTTTGTATGCATCTTTTACGTTCGTGTAAACACGGTCCAGCGTGTGGTCTCCACGTGTCGGAATCGCCACATGTTGATAAAAGCTTAGGAGACAGTCCTTTAGATTCACGTGGTTAAAGTCTCCGGCTACAACGTAAAGAGCTTCGGGGTGTTTGCTCTGCAGCGAGCTGATGACATCATGTAGCTCCTACAGTGATTAATTAGCATTAGCGTCCGGAGGAATGTAAACGACCGTGATGAAAGTCACCGTGAACTCGCGGGGTAGATAATGTGGCCGGCATTTCACTGTTATTTGCTCCAAAGCCTTTGAGCATGAGCTATTTACAACAGTACAGTTCATGCACCAACTTTTACTCACGTAAATGCATACTCCGCCTCCCCGTGATTTTCTCGTTAGTTCGCTGCAGCGGTCTGCTCGAAAAAAAAGTCTGTCATCCAGCTGGAAGACTGTATCCGGCGTTTCGCTTGTAATCCACGTTTCCGTGAGGCAAAGCACCGCACACTTCTTCATCTCTTTGGAGGCACCCGCTCTCAGACGAAGTAAATCCACCTTGTTGTCCAACTTGCGGACGTTCGACAGAAAGAGAGACGGCATGGGGAGTTTACCGGTTTTAGCGTTAGCTTGTAGCCTCACCATAACCCCCGCCCAGCATCCTCTCCTCTTAAGCCGGGAGCAGCGCTTCCTCTTCTGCCCACTGGAACGCCTCTTCTGCAGCTTCCAGGTAGATGACTTTAAGATCTGCATTCTGCCGAGCGTAGTTTTGAGTTTGTTGCTGATTTCTGCTATATTTCGTGGCAAATCCGCTCCTATTCTCATCAGTTCGGTTCGGCTATAGTTCACACGCATAAATCGCGTGGAGTCAGGCACAGAGTCAATATCAAAACTTCTAAAAACTGGGATGGTACTGGGAGCCTGTGAAGCTGCAACTGCTCTGAGCGCGGCCATCTTGGTTTCTGGAAGTATTCCTGAGCCCATTCTGTTATTTCCTTGACAGTGGCATTCCTTTTTGAGGTGCAGTGATGTTTAAGGGCCCTACATTTTTTTTGTTTTGATTTTTTGAATGTCCAGAGGACCTGACTTAACTTTTTTAGATTTTCTACCTGGATTATTGAACATGCATCAGGACAGCTTCCATAATTCCATTCAAAACGTTAATATTTAATAGATGATAGATTCACGCCCACAATTTAAACAATTTCAAGTATATATTTGTTTATTTTAACCTAATTTGGGCTTCCAGCTCTTGAAACCCATGATGGGCTGTATCCAAGGTGGGCTTCTTAAGAATAAGTTTGATGATTGCTATTTTCAAGGTAGGTGGGACAAAAGCAGTTCGGCTGGAGAGATTTATCACAGATGCGATCAAAGGACTGATGAAAGAGACGTTTCTTTTCAGCAGAGCAGTGGGGAAAAGATCGAGGGCACAAATAGAGGATTTAATTCCTTTGATAATAGCTATCACTTCTTGCTCAGAGACTTTAAGTAAAACATTGAATAAGTTGACGATTTTTATCCTGGCCTTATAAAATGGTGCAGGTGAAATTACCAAGTTTGTCATGGCAGACTGGATGATGTGAATTTTGTTATAGAAAATATCCATAAAGTTATTGCAGTGTTCGTCATTTGTTTTTGTAAGTGAGGGGGTTTTGGGTTGAAGGAGATGGTGTACTGTGGAAAAAAGTTGTTTAGAGTTCCCAGGGCTGTTGTTAATGATGGCGAAGTAATGGGTGGAACGAGCTTCATGGAGGGACTTTGCATAAATCTTTTGATGCTCCCGATAGGCCTGCTTATGAACAATGAGTCCAGAGCTGGTGTATCAACGCTCAAGGGCATGTCCAGCTGTTTTCAAGTGTCCCAACTCATCATTGTACCAGGGAGCTGAACAGATAAAGCTGACAGCTCTAGTTTTAACAGGTGCATGTAGATTCAAAAGATCACTCAGGGTTTTATTGTAGAAGTCCACTGACTCACTAAGTGAAGATGGATGAACAGTAAGAATGTGCTGAAGGTCTGCTGCCAAGATATCTGGATTGATGTTTTTAACGTTCCTGAAAGAGATTTGACGCTTTTGTTTTTACTGTTTAGTTGGAAAGGGCAGCTCCATAGAAATTGTCTTGTGGTCAGAGACACCAAGATCGCATGCAGTCACATTACTGGCAATAGCTGACTCTGTGATAATCAGATCCAAAGTTTGTCCCTGGTGTGTGTGGGAACATCAGCATGCGATTTAAATGAAAGCAATCCAAAAGTTGAAGAAATTCAGCTGCAAAGTGACAGGAAGAATCATCAACATGGATGTTAAAATCACCAAGTATTAAGAGGCTAGCAGATATAACACAAAAAGATGAAAGAAGATTTGACATCTCAGAGATGAAGGCTGGGTGGGGTTTGGTTGAAACGAGCTAGGACCATGCCTTTCATTTCAGGAGGATTTTCTGGCAGCTCGCTCTGCTATTTGCTGCAAATGATCTGTTTCTGCCTGTTGGTTCGGCCCCAGCTTCTGTTTCCCATGGGAGCATCCATCCATCTTCGCAGGGGGGCCGGAGCCCCCCTCAACCCAACTCAAACTGCAGTTGGGCCACCTCGTCGGGTTTGTTTGCCCATTTGATTTGTGATGTTTTATGGTCTGAGACTTTTCTGTACCATTCATATTATTGCAATTATTTTCAGATCTCAGATTATCTGAAGTCACTGAATCTTGTTAATACACCTGGATCTGCCCATCACTGCAACTTTCACTGTTTTTGGGTTCTGAATGATCACGTTTTCATTAATGTTTCTCATGGTTCAATTATGGGGGCTAAGTGTCACACTGTTAACTCCTGTAATTACACGTCAGTCACGAAAAAAAAAAAATGTCTGATAATATTGTTGATACTGCTCTCAGGGATTCAGCCCAACCCTGGACCCCCCCCCCCCCCCCATTATTTATATGACACCAAATTACTTTAAAAATGTGTCTGGACTTCATTTTCTGCATGTAAACGCACGTAGCCTTCTGAGAAAACTTGATGCCTTGAAAATTCTGGTCAGTTCTTCTGGGGCAGATGTTATCT